TGAAATTTTTCATGCAAAATAAAATCAGAGCATGCAAATTTCGCTGTTGCTTTTGTTTGTTTGTGTTGTTGTTGCTGTTGTCTGCTCGTTAGCTCGTAGCTGATGCACGTTCAATTCCTTAAATTATTGTATACACGCAATCAGCTGTATAATGAAAGCCAGCGCGCGCAATCAACGGTAAAGGCAAAGGTAAGAGCCATAAATCTGTTGGCCCGCTCACTTGCTCACCGGTCGGAGCTGGCCTGGTCTGGTCGGGTCTGGTCTGGTCTGGTATGGTCGCTAATGATTTATGCGACTGCCAGAGACAAGACAAATGCCCAAGTAATTGAATTACAAAGCCAAAAATGTAGATAACTTGCTGAGTAAGCTGGCACTTATGCAAATTGAGCATGGCCAACGAGCTGGCCCAAGTGCTGTGCTGATAAGGCTACTTGGCTAGCAGCGGCAACAACAACAACGTGCTGATTGCAAAATCAATGGCTCAAAACTCAACAAAAGGCAACTAAGCGGCATCGATAAATGCCCAAAAGGCAGCAGCCAGGCCAAGCCAGTTGGAGTCAGAGTAAAAGTGCACAGCGCATAAAAGTATGCTATGCTTTTTTTCTCTCGAGCAAATATAAGCAGCAGCTGAAGATGGGACCAAGAGCTGACTAGAATAGAGTCGTGGACATTATTTGTGCAAAATTACCTTTAACGAGGTGACTAGCGGAGTGTCCTGTTGCATTACCATTACCGCAATAAACTGTAGCACCAGAGACGCCTTCGCGAGTCTCGAGTGCTGCAGCAGCAGCAGCGTCAGTGGAGGCGGCAGCAGTTAGTTGCTTGCAAAATTGCACTTGACTCGAATGCCAATTACATGGCCCTGCAGATGTCAGTTGGGCCCCGATGCAGGCCCAAGGAGCCCAGCAAGTCGACGAGGACGGGTGGAGCGAGCGCTCGGCGTTGGTGTGAGGTGGGCCATGACGCAGCAACTAGACCTAGCCTAGGTCTGGGGCCCGGGCATGAGCAGAATGGGCATAAAGTGGATTAAATATGAATAAAAGATATTTGCGCAAATTGCATTAGTGTGGTGCGGCGGCCAAGGACCCAGAGATTGATACGAAGATAGCGATGAAGAAGAGAAGCCAAACGGCCAGAGGTCAAACAGCATTAGCTCGCAAAAGAGTTGACTTTCCGTTCACGATTCGAGGCAGCTGCTAATGCAGCTAAGGCCAACTGCAAATTGCTTTCCAGATGAAACGCATGTAAGGCTTAGACCATAAAATTTAATAAATAATTTCAGAGCGTTAAATAATGAATGCAGCTCTTTTTTAACTGCAGCGAATTTTTACCAAGTATTTCATTAAATTTCCACAGCACAATAACAATTTCGGTGCAAATGGGAAAATGAAAAAGAAAAGCAAAAATACAAAAAAAAAAAAATACAATGCTGACCAAAACGCAACCACAATGGCGTACATGCAGGCACTGTGGCTGCCTGTAAGTGTGTGTGTGTGAGTGTGTGTGTGTGTGCGCGTGTAATTAAATTCCGTGCCTGCAAGTGTAATAGCAATATTTGGTTTTGTGGCTAACACCGCACCCTCAAGCCCCTCAAGCCCCTCAAACCCCTCAAGTTCAGGCCGCGCCATTTCCTTCGGCGTTTGTCCCACTGCAGCCGGATATAGAATCTAATTTGATTACGATGTGTGCCGCCCACATATGCTGAGTGCATGTGTGTGTGTTAAATTCCCATTAGCGCATTTTTGAGCGTCTGCCAAACACGTCAGAAGCTAACTAAAGGTTTCAATTGCTCTGGACAATGGGCACGGATAATTAAACACGACTTTGCAAGAATTTCAATTACAAAACATTCGCACAGCAGCCATTGGACCACAATACCCGCTCTACTTTTTTTTGTGGGTACGTTGAGTGGCATTATGTGTTTGCAATGTTTGTTTAATAAATCAAAGCATATCAAATTAATTAGTGATGTCAAAATTCATTTAGTTCAACCATTTAGTAGGTCGAATTATTTTTGCTAATGGACACATTAATAATGAATGTGAATCCCATTTAATCCCCTTATAACTGGCTACAATTATGTAATAGCATTGCGTGATTAATAATGGTCGGGTTGATTTAATTATGCAAATGGAAGCGAGGCCTGTGCCTATTACTTATATATGGATATGGATTATGCCAAAGAGACGAAGCCCACTCAAGTATTCCAATTGAAATCTGAGCTGCCAAAAAGAAAAGAGTCAAATATATGTTTCAAGCAACGAATTTCGCGCAGTGTAGGCCAGAGATATACGACTTTTGATAAATAGTTTTAAGCCAGCTCACATCGAGCGCACTGAGCAACGAGGCTTTGCATCGACAATCAGAGTCTCTATTAAATCTATGCGAAACTTTTTTCTCAACTCGGCTCAACAGAAGTTGGCTAACAGTTAAAGCCCGCTGCCGACTGTCTCTGTGTGTATGTATGTGTATGTATATATATGTACATTTATATATACATTTTTGCGGCCACTATCGAGTGCCACAGACATGAAATTTTCACAAAGTAGTAAACTTTATGCCGCCACCGTCCACGAGACTCGACCACACACACAAACACACACACACACACACATATACACGTATATACGTGCACACAAACTAAATTGAGTTTAGTTGGATAGCCAAAAAAATATATATATATAAAAATATATATATACATACAACAAAAAACGCAACGAGCTCACAACTTTTTCATCCACTTTTTCCGTATGTATCTCTTTATTTATGGAACTTTTTCAATTTGGAAATAAAGTTTTAGATATTTCGCGCACATTTTTATTCATAACAAAACAAAACGTGAGAGCTGCCGAAAAGGCCCACAAAAACCGCATTTGAATGCCAAATTTCTGTGCTTGATAGCTATTAAATGAAAATATGATGTATAGCCTGTCAATTATATCAATTTGAATTTAATTCCATAAAAACGCTTACCAAATCCAAAAATTCATTTACTTCCACAGAAGCGATTGAGCTTCGATTGAAATACTTTATAGACTATTAAGACTATATAGAATAT